ACACCACAACACACACAGAGAGAGAGAGAGAGAGAGAGAGAGAGAGAGAGAGAGAGAGAGACAGAGAGAAGCTGACGAGTGGAAACGAGAGCGAAGGGGGCAGATTTTACGTGGCCCGCCAACCGACGATCTTTATGGTTGTTTTTCCATGCCTTCTTTCCAGAGCCGATCCCCACTTCGCCTCGGCGACGGCAGCCTCGCAGGAAGAGCAGCCACCAGATCCTCATGCTGGCTCTGCCTCAAAGGAGGGAGATCTACTGTATTTTCCTGTCTCCATTGGACTGTCAGGGAGACAAATAAGGGTTGCCTTTCCATCCGGGCTGCCTCTCAAAATAATAATAATAATAATAATAATAATAATAATAATAATAATAATAATAATAATAATAATAATAATAATAATAATAATAATAATAATAATAATAATAAATAATGTGCCATCAATTCCAATTCATGGGAATTGTTTCTAGGTAGTCCTGATTGCGACGCCTTCTCCGGGTCAGCCCAAATGCTTTACATTTAGATTGGTCGGCTTTGGGAGGGAACACACCACCTCGCTCCCACCTCTCTAGACCTTCCTTCCTTCCTCAAGAGGCCCTCTGATTACTCCTTTGGTCACTCCTTTGGAAAAGGGGGGGGGAGCAGCAGCCACCGACGGGGCTTCGTGTCCTCTCCTTCTCCCTCCCCTTTCCTGGTTTACCGGATACTCCTCTGGTTCGCCCCTTCATTTAACTCCCCTACAAATCTGAAAACCGGACCGAGCGCCGAAGCGAAAGCGAGAGAGAAGGTTCCTCCAATTCTTGAGAAATTTAAGTTTTCCGTCTCCTTTGCCTCCTAGTTAAAATCAATTCCGTCTCCTTTGTTCTCTTTTAATTATCTGCGAATTTAAAGATATCCTCTACTCTTGCCTTTTTGTACTATTAGTTTTGGAAAGTTCTCTGTCAAAACAAAAGGCAAACGAAGAAACAGCTAGTCGAGGGGAAACCGATAGTCTGCCAGGGTGTAAAATCCCCAAAGGCTGAATTGAAAGTGGGTCTGGAATTCAAACTGCAATGAGAAAGGAGGCGAGAAGGGCCTCTCCTAAGGATGGCGCTCCCCGTTTTTGAGGAGTGGGCTGGGGAAATGTTCGAAGGTGGACTCAGATTTCCTCGTCGAGCGCAGGAAAGCAAAGAAAGGGGGGCACTGGAGGGCCCAACGCCTGCCTCCGGGGCTCGCTTTCGTTGCTCCCTCCGGCGAGGATGCTGCGAAAGCGAACCGCAGTAGGAATGGTCCAGCCTCGCTTGGCCAAAATCACCGGCCCAGCTCGGCTGCCTCTTTGCCGGCATTGAAGAGCCCCGAGCGCGTCGTGTCCTGCCCACCCCTTGGGGCCAAAAGTAGCTTCGTCTCGTTTCGTTTTCTTCCTCCCTCGCGTGAGAGAATAAGGTTTCCACCCAAGCATCTCGCGTGGAGAAGCGATGCGCCTTTCGACAAAGGACAGGCTCCACCCGGGCTTCGACCTCCATCCTAGCGCCGAGACATCCAGCGGCTTCCGAAGGAACGGACTTGCCCGGGAACTGGGGGGCGGGGGGGGGGCTGGGCGAGGTGTAGAAGTCCCCTAGTCGACCCATCCAAAAAGTTCGCCCCTTCCGCCGTCTTTCCCGTCCTGGAGTCCGCCAGCGCGGAAATCCTCGATTTTCACCACAAATGGGGAACATCTGGTTAGACGGAGCAGTCCGCCCGCCGCCCCTTCTTTCGGGGAAGGAAACGAAACGAAACGAAACGAAACAAAAGGCTGGGCCAATGTTCTCCCTCGGTTCCTAGCCGAGGAAAAACACCAAGGGGGATCCCGTTGTCGTAGGGAAAATAGATGGTGCGCGGATGTATGTGTGTGTGTATTTAAATTAAATAGTGAGAAAGGCGAGCTGTCGGAAGACGGAATCCTTTGATTTCCTCCGGAGAGCTTGGGCAGAAAGCTGCAGGGGACAGAAAAGGGGCCCAGGGAGAGGAAGGGGAACGCGCTGAGGGATGCCCTCGCCTCCCGCTCGGCCGCATTTCAGTGTAATAAAGCCCACTAAAACTCCACAGGTCTGTTTGCATTTACTGTTGCCATTTAAATTATTCAGTGTGTTGCCGTAATTGAATCCTAAGCTTTAAAAACTAATATACTCCCTCCTTGTCACCGCTTTCTTGACTCGCGACATCAGCCCTAACAGGTGCTGATCAAATACTATTACATTCTATTAAAAGGAAAATTCTATTCCCTGTTTTCATTTCCCTTTATAAAGGGGAAACTAAGTAAATGCATTTGAGCGTTATTTAATTTTTAACGCTTTTAGGCCAATTTGGACGTTTAGGGAGCGTCTCCAAACTCACAGAACCAGACGGCGCTGTTGACATAAATGAATCCGGAGCGGAATCCTGTTCAAGGCGACTCCCCTCGCCCCAAAAAGCTCTGTGCGGGAGGCCGTTCCCGGCACTCGCGCCAGGCAGCCCGGCTGAAGAGGGAGGCGGACGGAGGCAGGAGCCGGAGTTCGTACAAACGAACAGCTGGCAAATCAGCCGCCGCCGCCGCCGCCACCATGGCTTCGGTGGAATACAAAGCTCTCAAAGCAGAAACCCGCGGCGGTTGAAACAAATAAATAAACTTTTTAAAAAAAGAGTGACTTTATTTAGCTGTTCAAAACTAAAGATCGGGATTTGTACGTGCGGCTCAACAGAAATAAACCTGGATTTATTTTTATATTTTGCATTTCAAGAGGGGGGAAACGCTTTGTGACTGTCTTGTACCTTCGGAAGAAATGTGGGCGCCGGGGTCTGCCGAGGTTTCGAGGGCAAACGCGCACCATTCTGGCAGAGAGGGCTGGAACCTTTTTTTCTGCCGTCTCCCCTTCGTTTTCTGAAGCAGGGGTCTGCCCTGGGTAACGGAAGGACATTACTTTTAGTCTTCGAAAAAACGGAAGTGTGATGCTGAAATGCAATAATTCTCGAATTATTTAGGGAGCACCTTCCTTGTCGCGGCACAGGCCGGTTCTTCGGTGTGTTTTAGGGTCCGCGAAAGAAAAAGGGCGCAGCGGGGAAGGGCTGTAACTCTGAATGCTGAGCCCCCTTTTTGGAGTTTATCCTTAGCTGAAAATGGACACCGTAAAGGATTTGGAGGGGAGAGTCCCAAAGACATCATCACCTCCAGGTAGCCTGATTGTGCGGCCACCCTCGCTCCGCAACAGGGCACCTAAACAAAGAACGGAAGGGGGAAGAGTTACCTTGGCCCTACGTGAATGGCCCGAGTTGTGGGGCGGATGATGGGGAGCAGGGCTTGGAACGGGCTGGAATTCGGTTCAACGAGCATCTCTGTTAATGATTCCAACGGGTGGGACCGGAGGAAGGGAGGGAGGGAAGGGGGGAGGGGCTCGCCTAGTAATTGCGAAGGTTCGGTTCCATTTCATATCGCTAATTTCCAAAGACAACAATCGCAGATGCTCATTGCAATATCCGCCCCGCATTATCTTAGCTAATAAATTTGACCTATTGTGCGTTTGTTAAAATGATGTCACCGTGGAACAGTCCCTAAGCTCCTATTCCAATGAATTAGACCTTTATTGAAACCCGGGAGCCAATGGGAGGAGAGAGGCTGGTTGGCTGCGGCCAATGGCAGCTGCCGGAGAGAAATTAGAAGCAGAAACTCGAGGTTTGGTTCAAAAAAGATGACACAGAATCTGTCGGGCTGGACCAGTCTTGGCAAAGTTTCAGTGTGACATCTATAGGAACCAGGACCTTACATGGATCTACTGTAAAAAAAGGGAAGGGAGCGTTTTTATAGGGGAATTCCTCTCCCTCTCT